CGCTTTCCTTCCAGGAAGGTACTATATATCAGCTACCGCCACTGCCCAGTCCCAGGGAGCAAGCGCGCTTGCGCGCCACTCTCACCCTTTAAAGCGGGAGGCGAGATGAGCCAATCGTGAGCCGCGGAAGGCGGGCTCTCAAGGTTAGGGACCATCTTGTAATTCCTCACCCTTCCTCCAACCCGGAAAGGTTTCACTCCAGAAAACGGGAAAGGTTAGGGAGGGACACGCTGTGTGAAAGTTTGTTCAGAAGCGCAGAATGGCTAGTTTCGTTTTCACCTCGGGTGTAAATAAAAGGAGAACGAAGCATAACGCTAGAAACTCAGAAGCAAAAAGCGTGTGCGGTGCTGATTTCAGAACGGGAACGTGGGAAAGCTGGATTCAGATCACCACAAAGCGTCCTTGAACAACTGGCCAGATTTCCTGGAGAATTCTGGGAATTGTAGTCCCGCCCCCCCAATCTTTACCTCACGTTGAAACCTCTATTTTTAAACTATTAGTTCCAGAAACACCGTGCCGGAGATTCTGGGAGATGTTATGTGATGTCAAGTCGCCTCCGATTTATGCGACCCCGTGAATGAGCGATATATTGTACCAAGGTCTGACCCTTGGGACTCTTCCAGCTCTATGACTTTGTGGTAGGGCGTGGGAATAGGGATCGGGTAAGAGAACACAAAAGGAAGAACAAGTTACTTCTTAAATCCTCTGTGCGTTCCCATTTTGCCCCAGTAATGATGGGAACACCAGTATATACAGCTATTTATCCATCCCTGCCATCTCACCCCACTGTCTGATGAAGGGATCTTGTAGCTGTGGTCGTTTGCAGAAATTGCATAACCTTCCGTTCTTTTTTCAGTTAGCCTCAAGATACTCCTTAGCATGGAAATTGGATTTCCTTTCCTACTTTTTGCCATCTTAAATAATTTATTAATTGTTAATTTATGTTATTTTTATGTGTTTATGATTTAAACTTACATATGTGTGTGTTGGAAGCCGCCCAGAGTGGTCGGAAGACCAGATGGGCGGGGTATAAATCAAATAAATAAATAAATAAATAAATAAATAAATTTTGAGCAAAACAATAGGATCAGTGAATTAGAGCCCCCCCCCGCACTGTTTGAGACAATATAAGTCAAGCAATTAATTACTGTTTGGCAGTGTGGATATGCTGGGTGACCTCATGGAATAAAAGCTGAGAGGCATGTAAATTCCTGTTGGTCTCAGGCGCAGTGGAGGACCAGTTCCTATCATCAGTACTGTCATAAAATCAAATTACTAATCTGATCAGGTTTTGTGCATAGAATTTGGGGAAATGGGGAGCCACCATCTTGTCATTTGTTTCACAGACAAAAACGTGTTGCTGCAGTCTGGTCAAAACCCTAGAATGAATTGATTTTTTAAGTGTCATGTGCAAGTGGTTGACAAATTTCCCCATGAAAGGAATTGCACAGACTTGGTACTGTGAGGGTTCAGGGTCTGGCTCTGGTTGTTTCTGTAATAAATCAACTGACTTCTTTGGTTTAGAAATTGGTGTAACATTTATTGGATTATTTAACAAGAAACGTGTATCAACAAAGGTGTTCCAACCATTTCCTCCCTCTAACAAGGGATTAGATGGGGTTTTCCAATCTTCAACTTAAAAGGGGCTGCACCCTTCAACATTCCAGGATCCCAGCCAGTCCAGTAAAACATCTGTATTCAGTAATTGTACTGTCTTCCCTTCCAACCTCTGGCTTTACAGCCATATACTGAAACCACTGAACTATCCAGCGATATAAGGAAGAGTGAATAAAGGTGATAGCAGAGGCCACTGTCAAAAAGGCTTTATGCTCTGTTCACTTTCTGAGAAGTTCTAATGAATATATTTCTCAGTGAACACGATTTATCTTTGCACTACAAATGTGTTTAGAGCAGAACGGGAAAATCAATTCTCTGGACTACAGTCCCCTAGCAAAAACTGTCCGTGGTTATGTGGCTGGGAGATCCTGGGAATAGCAGGTAGGCCCCAAACATTCCAAAACCACCTGACATTAACACCAACTGTATTAAGCTAATCAAAAAAGAAAAAGAAAGGAAAAGACAAAATTTGCACTAAAGCTACTGAGATCATAAAATAGTTTTACAGTCATGAACACCTACTGTTGCCACCTAGTGACTCTAATATGGGCTTTACTGTAAACATCTACTGTACATCACTGACAGAAACATCCCAGCAGAGCATTAGCTGACATTCACATTAATGCTGGATTGGGAGTTGCAGTCGTAATTGATTTTTGGCTATCTAAGTGAAAAAATAAATCAGAATCCTCTACGTATTATAATTATCTCAGCAAAGATTGCCCCACACCTCCCAATGTGTTTGCAACTCAGAAAACTTGTTCCTCAAATTTCCCAACAAGCCCTCCACCTTTCAGCAGTCTTCTGTTAGGGTATGTCAGAACATCTGCATGAATCACAAGAATCAAAGACAAATTCTTAGGACCTACATTTTCTCTTCTTGAGAGCTGAAAAAAATGGTAATTAAAGTTAAAATGATAACATTATGAATGGCCTTGCTAGACTGGAAGGCCATACATAAATGCCTTGCTAGTTCTACATTAGAGGATATCAATATAAATATCTGAAATTTGCATAACAAAAACACATCCACAAGGCGATACGTTTAATACACCACCTTAGAGTCCATCAAACCACCCTAAACAGAGCAATCTGCTTTGCTTTTGGAAGTTAGGAAAGGTTAGGCTTGGTTAGTACTTGGATGGGAGATTGCCAAGAAATGTCTGAGGTCTTCAGCTAGTACTAGGAAAGCGTTATGTCTACAATCCTGGAGGCTTAGCAGTACAAGGCCAGCTAGACCAATGATATAACTTCATGTAAGGCAGCTTCCAGTATTCTTATTAAGCACAGAGAAAGTTTCTGTCTGGGAATGCCAGTCTCCCATTACCAAGGATCAGTTATATGTAAATTTAATTCCTATAGCTGAACAGTAGACAGAGATGAAAAGTAGACACACAAGTATGCATTGTTAATGGTTCTGTCCAAGGACAAAAACAGCTAACATGTAAGAGCACACAGAGTGGCTCCTATTCCACTTTTCAGTTCCTCCTGGGCCTCGAACCAGCACCACCCAGTGTCGCTCTGCCTCTCCCCCATCCCTAATTGGGGAAGAGGGAGGCAAGGCCTCCTGCGGAACAAAACAGCATCCACCCTCCTCCTTCCCACCCCACCCCCTTCTACTCACCATCATGGATAAGCACTTTAGAATACTAATGGTCACATCACGACAGCACAAGACAGTTACTACTTTACACATGTATCTAATATTTTAGACAAGATATCTAATTGTAATCTATTTGTGTAGAAAAAGCCAATGATGTAATCAGATAAGAAAAGTTTTTAGAATTTAAACATTTCCTACATCTGTAATCCCTTTCATTGCCAGGAACCTGTGGGGAATGCAGGATGGAAGCCTTTAGTTAGCAAAAAAACATTGTAACCAGAAATGCCATCCCATGGTGGCAATTATTTGCTGATTAAAGACTTTCTCATCTTGTTCCCTAGGTGCCATGGGCTTTCAGTGATGAAATTCATTATACAAGAGTGATAGGTGCTTCTGGACAGTATAAAATGTCTGATTTCAAAAGTGTATTGGCTGATGACAACAGCAGTCTTATGCTGTATAACTTACACAAACAGGATTTCAGCCAATTAATTAAGATGCATGAGATGCTATTACAGGGGTGCCTCGCTTACCAATCGCTCTGTTGAGTGACCAAATCGCTTTGCAACGCTGTTTTTGCGATCGCAAAAGCGATCGCTTTCTGATGTTTCCTATGGGGGAATTTCACTTTGCGATGATTGCGCGGAAGCGACCCTCGCAAAGCCCCCGTTTTCAGCCAGCTGATCGGCGGTTCCAAAATGGCTGCCCACTGTGTTGACCCGCTTTAGAGGCACCCAAAATGGCCGCCACAATGGAGGATCTTCGCATAAGGTCAGTTTTCAAGCCCATATGAACACATTAAACACGTTTTAATGCGTTTCTATGGGCTTTTTTATTTCCCTTAGCGACGAAATCCCTTAGCGACGTTTTTCCTGGAACAGATTAACGCTGCTAAGCGAGGCACCACTGTACATAGAAACTTGAGTTCTGCAGCATCCTTCAGTAAACCCATTGCAGAGATCAGGGCATGAATCAAGACTTTTTTGGTCTCAGATCAGAGTAGTTTTCACATTTCACAGATAAATAGCAGATTGTGATGCAAGTCTTATCAATCCATAGTCAAAGGAAATATGTTCCTGTTTTACAGAATGAAACAAGTAAAAAGCAAAAGTGCTTCAAGCACTCTCTGGGTGGTTTACAAGTTAATTATGCAGGCTACACATTGCCTCCCCAGCAGAGTACAGTGGTGCTTCGCAGAACGAGCGCCCTGTAGAACGATGAATTCGCTCTACGGTGACGCTTTTGCGATCGCTAATGCGATCGCAGAGTGATGCCCCCAATGGGCGAAAATCGCAGAGCGAAGGTCGGTAAGCGGTTTGCTTACCGACCTTCGCTTTGCGACCCGCCGATCAGCTGTTCCGCGGCTTCAAAATGGCCACCAGAATAGCCGAAATGGCCGGGCACAGCATTTTCGCGCCCTTGGTAAGCAAGGGTAGGGCGCGAAAACGCTGCCGGAACAGCTGAAATGGCTGCCAGCCATAGGGAAGCATCGCTGAACGGTGAGTATTCGGCCCAATTGGAACGCATTAAACACTGTTTAATGAGTTCCAATTGGTTTTTTCTTACCGCTCAGCGATGTTTCCCACAGCGAGGGTTAATCCGGGACGGATTAACCTCGCTGTGCGAGGCACCACTGTACTCATTTTACTGACCTCGGAAGGATAGCAGGCTGAGTCAACCTTGAGCCAGCTACCTGGGATTGAACCCCAGGTCATGAGCAGTTTTGGCTGCAGTACAGCAGTTTAACCACTGCACCATGAGTACCTCTAACTCTCATCTGTTTTCCAGAATCACCTGTCCATGAAGGATTCAGACAGATAGAATTCCTTTGCAGCCCAGGTTAGATATGCATCTGTGCCTCTGCCTTTAGTTTCTACTGAAGATTTCTCTCTTCAAACACTTCCTGAGAAATTCCATTCAGTATTATTAAAGCAATTTTGCTTTAATCTATTGCATACCTCTCTGAAAACTTTATCATAGAGCTGTTAATAGATCTAATTAATAAAACAGGAGTCAACTGTGCAGCTAGCTACTAAGCTTGGATTTCAACTTATGAGGAACATGCTCAGCATATAGAATAAAGTGGTAGAATATTCCAAATGGGCGGGATATAAATCAATCAATCAAACAAACAAACAAACAAATAAATAAATAAAAGGAGAAACACTGATCCAGCAGGAGGCCCCTTGATGTGCAATCAGTCCACTTTTAAAAAATAAATCTGGTAGAGTCTGTTTAAAACAGGAGTGGAACATATGGACTTTCAGATGTCGTTGAACTAGTTTCCATCACCAAACTAGTCAAACTAGCTGGGGTTGATGGGAGGCAGAGTCAAACATCTGGACGGCTGCATGTTTTCTACCTCTGTTTTACGTAGTAATATTTTGATATAAAACCTGCTGCACCATTTGATAATGGAGCAACTACTGCCTTATGGTCATAGAATACAGCTGTGTCATGTAAAAGATCAAAAAGCAGCAGTGGAAACACCAACAACCCTGTGGTACCCAAACACATTCATTTACCTGATGATTTAAATCAGGGGTCTCCAAACTTTACAGTATGAGGGCCACATCATATATTTAACACATTTTGGAGGGCCGAAGGAGGGAAAGGGGATCCAAGCAATCCCCTACTATTTTTGCAAAGACAGTGAGGGTGGGGGATTGCTTTCGTCCCCCTTCCCTCCTCTTC